GAGGAAAGAGATGGCTTTCTTTAGCTCTAGAAGAGTGAGGCTTCCACATGCCCTGAAGAAAGATCAAACAACATAATACCCCTTCCTGCTCCCAGGTCATACCCTTCTCAAATGGTATAAACCCTTTTGGCCTTCACTTGCCTCTGTTGTAGCCTGTAGAGCATTATTTCTGTCAGGAATTATTACCACTCATAAGTTAGTAGAGCTTCAGTGAAGAAACATATCCGTATGGAGGCAGCAGAGTTTAGGAGGAAATTGCCTCAAGCTAGGAAACCTGGGCCAAGTCTCAGGTCCAGCACTCAGCCACGTGACTTCTGGCAAGTCACTCGAGTGCTCTGAGCCTCAGTGTTCTCACCTGCAAAATGGGGACGTCATCATTGCCTGCCTGCCTCACAACATTGTTCTTAGAATAGAAATCAATGGGATTGTGTGTTCTAAAGCATGTTGTAAACTATAAATCTAAACAATTGGAGAAGAGTTGTTTTTTCAAGATTTTGGGCTTAATGACTTTGTTTCTTCTGTCATAACTGTTGGGTGAGGATCATGGTCAATTGCATCTCTGATGCCAACTACATCACAGAAGAGAAGAAGCTGAAGTAGACATCTGGCTCCTCTCCCTCCCTGTTACACCCCAGCTCACTTGGTCCTGAAGTCATCTACAGCCAACCTGGCATTGTCTATTTGCACAACCAGCCTGTTGTTCTCAGATTTAGCGCACAGGATCTGGGGAAAGAAAGTAGGCTTAGTGATTCACCGTTCCTAGGACCACCTCTAGCCTCAAGTCAGAGGAAGTGCCATTGGCTAGAGTTCAAAGTACAACATGCCTTTGGACAACATAAACTCCCAAAGATGTAAGAGGTACTTTCAAAGTGCAGGAGAGGGAATGTGCAAGAGGCTATGCGATGAAGGGCAAAGGCATGGAGCCTACTGGAAAGTTGTAGTAAACTGAACTTGTGACAAAGGCTTGATTTTATTTGGCCAGATATGATGTTTAACCTGATATAAACAAGAAGATCTGGAATCTAGGCCACAGAACAATGTACTGGCTATGAAGATTTAGACAAAGTAGGATCCGTTCATAATAAGAAGTTCCTTACTTTGTTTGGTCAACCTCCCCAAGGGTCTTCTCTGAAGCTATAGCCAGTTTTCTATGGCAACTATTTTGACATTCTTTGTCTTTCTGCCTCCCACTAAGAGGTAGGCTCTTAAGAAGCATTGAATTGGTAATTAAAGGGGCCAGTACATGTGCACAAGAGGCCAAAGCTACTGAATGGATATATACTCCAGCCCCCCAAGGACATTAGAAAATACACATGCTCAGGACTCCTCTGAGCCCATTTCCTGCACAAGAAGATTGGTCATTTTCATGGAAATAGCACTGTTTTTGAAACTAGCATACAATTTAGAAATTATAAGTACTGACGCTAAGTAAGCATGACCTCAGAATTCTGGAGAGTCAGGTTCTTCAGCTCATCCTTTACACATTCTCACTTCCTTCACTCAAGAGATTCCCTTCCACAATCAAAAAGACATTTCAGCTGTGGCTGTCTCCACTGCTTATCCAAGTGCTGAACATCTACCATAAGAGTCAGCAAACTTTTTCTGTAATGGGCCAGATAGTAAATATTTTAGGCTTTGCAGGCCGTACAGTCTCTGTCACAACTACTCAACTCTGCCATTGTAACATGAAAGCAGCCATAGACAGTATGGAAAGGAATGAGGGTGGCTGTGTGCCAATACAACTTTATTTACAAAATCAGGTGGCAGGCTGGATTTGATGCGTGGGCCATAGTTTTGTGACCCCAATCTAGAGCACCACAAACCTCACCTTCTGTTGGAGGTCCTCCGTGGTCTGGAAGTAAGACTGGTAGTTTGGACACACTTCGGTCTCCTGGCATTTGCTTGACTCTTGGATCTTGGTCTCCAGCTCCACATTGTCCTGCTCCAGCTGCCATACCTTCTCTAGGTAGTTGGCCAAGTGTTCGTTCAGGAACTGCATGGTCTCCTTCTCATGGCCATTCAAGGTGCCTTCACCATAGGTCCCACAGCTTCCAATGTTGCCTGGGATGTGGCAGGTCCCTGGCAAGAGGCAAGAAGTGTTGCAGCTGTGGGGCAGACAGAGGCTGGGTTGGCCCAGAGGGGTTGACCCCACACGGACTCGGTGGGCATGAGCCAGGGTGGCTGAGAGGCACTGGGAGGCAGCCTTGGCCTCTGAAACCCACCCACTGAGGAGGGAGCTGCAACAGTTAGAAGTCATAGTGCTAGAAGTCTAGACCCCTATTTTGCCCAAGATTGGACTTGCTTGAGGCTGAAACCTTCCTTCTTCTCTAGATCTTATATAGACCTGAGGTGGGTGTTGGTGCAAGCAAACTGGCATTTTCCTCATTAATATTTATGTTGATTGTTATACAATCACTCTATTAGTCAGAAATTTTTTCTCCTATAAAGAGTTAATTAGCTCATGAAAGAGGCTTTAACCTACACAGGATACTTCCCACCGCTGCAGAACCCTAGAAAACAGAGAAAATGGGGTCTTCTTCAAACTGCCCACATTATGCAGCTATAAATTCTTTCCCCTTCTGTCAGCTTATGTGTGTGAAATAATCAAGAACCAGAGACTCCCAAAATTTCCTCGAAGTTTCACTTTTGCCTTTTCCTACTTCAGAATGTTCCCATCATCGCAAAGTCTAAAAATATTAGTCAATCAGGCACGTTAAAGAAAGAGAAAATCCATAATTCAGTTTGTTTCAGCAGATCTTTCTGGTGTTCCCAGTGTAGGACAAACACTGAGCTAGGCCTGCTGAGGGGGGCAGAGGGTTGGCTATATTTTAATGAGAGGGACAAGGAAGTAAATGATCTCGATACTCTAAAGGCCGTAAGAGGGGATATAAAAAAGAGTTGTGAAGATTTCAAGGTAGAAGAGAGCACTTTGAGACCAGAAAAAGACTTCATGGAGAAGGGGCCATTTAAAATGTGTTTTGAAAGACAATTTCCATGGGGAGTTGATTGAGGGAGTATCTCTCACCGAGACAAAATGAACAAAATGAAAGAACAGAAGCAGACGTGTTTGAGAAATGGCAAATAGTCTGATTTTGTTGGCACTTACAATGAAGACATCAAGGACAGCAATGGAAAGTTGTGTTGGGTCCAGGATGTGGGAAACCTTGAATGCCAGCCCCATCCCACATAGAGTCTTCAGATAAAAGCAAGTCAAAGATAGGGATCTGGCCCTGGAAGCCAGTGTTCCTCAAATATGAGGAAAATAAGTAGCCAGATTCCTCTTGATGGAAAGCAACAGCAAAGAAATAGAAGGTTCCTTTGTAAATGTAAGAGAAAAACACAAAGCTAGAACAATGAAAATAAAAAACTAAATTCCAAATTGATTTTGGTGTTTGGAAACTAACTAACACAGTTTTAAATAACCCATGGGCCAAAGAAGAAATTAAATGAGAATTTTAAAAAGTATTTTGAACTGAATTAAAATGAAAACACAACATATCAAATTGATTCTGGCAATTAAGACGATCCCTGTACAAATGTGAAACAGATAAGCAGTTTTGGAAAGGGGAGTAGGGCCAATGAACGAAACTGGGTAATCTGTGATTCCCAAAAAAATGAAATTATGTTCCCATGTATTAGAGTCTACAGGCTAATTACGGCAAGCAGTGATTAATACTTTATGGTGTCTGTTCTCAGAAGCCTCCCCCTCCTTTCCAGGCATCTGCCCTGGTTAGACACTGACCCTCTCACTGGACTGAGTCCCTCTTTACCTTGTTTACAGAAGATACACACTTGAGAACTTTGATCCTCTTCTTTTGAAATGTTCTTGGGTTTCTTTGAAATTCACCTCCCTTCATTGTCCATTACTTGGGAGACTCTAGAACAAATTTAAATTTCCTTAATCTTCAGACATACTCAGAGCATCTGGAAGCTTCATGGCCTCCTCTGTTCCTAAAACAAACAAGCCAGTTTGTTCAGTAGAACCTAGACATGGGCAGCTAGCCAGCTTCGAGGCTATGCTAACTAAGATGTGGCTTTGACCCCATTCTGAAGACGGATGAATAAAGGAGGCCTCACTCTTGAGGCAGCAGTGCATGTTTTAGTCAGTCCTAAAATATAGAATCACCAAGCTGAAAGGGATCTCAAAGTCCTCTAGTCTAAGACTCTTTGGTATTAAATCCCTTCCAATAACCTTCCTCCAAGTAGTTTTCCAGTCTACCATCTTCCAGGATGGCCCACTCCATCACTGGCCAACTTGGCCTCCATGGCTCACAGTTCCCCAGGCCTTGTGCAGGACACTGGGATCCAGAGAAAAACAGCAGGTGCCTTAAGGGGCTTACAATATAGTGGAGTGTTAGAAAGCTCTTTATGCAGATCCAAAATCTACCTCCCTGTTACTTCTGCCTACTGCTTTCGTTTGTTCCTTCATTCATTCATTCATCTAATAGTTATTGAGTACCTACTCTGCGCCAGGTAGGTGCCAGTGCTAGACACTGGTGATTCGTTAGTGAATAAGTCAGACAGTTTGCCATTTAGTTAATTTACTTTCTAGTTCTACCTACAGAGTACTATGCAGGAGAAATCCAATCATTCTGCCACATGGCAGACCTACAGTTCTTTGTGGATAGATGTGAGATTTCTTACTGCTGGTTCTTTCAATTTCCCTTCGTTAAACGTGGGTTTAAGTCCCCTCCCAATCCTGGATACATTCCTTTGATTATACTCCATTTAGTTCCTATTGCTTCTAAGTGTGGGGTCCTAGAATGGAATTTCTGATGAGTCTGGGTTAAGAAGCTTCCAGCAGAAGGCCCAGTGAACCTTCTTGTCCAGGACTCTTGTGTGAACTATGCTGGTGCTTGCAGCTGCTCAGCCATGATAACCAGAGAGACAACCAGCCGCCAGTTGGTCCCATATACAATCAGTAAGACACATGGAGGCATTTGCCTGTAACTACTCTGTGTACAGATACAGGGGATATTTGCCAAGGCAGAGTTCGTCAGCGTCAGTGACCTTATCCCAGTGACCAACTCCAACTGATCAAATATTCACTGAGCTCCTGCTACAACAAAGCCAGCGTTTCTATTTCAGTAGGTTGGGGGTTAGGCCTGAGAATCTACATTTCTAGAAAGTTCCCAGGTGATTCTGATGCTGCTGGTCTGGGAAACACACTTAGAGAACAGAATCACTGCTCTACAGCAATAGTAGAGCTTTGTCATGACTGTCATCTTACGTAAACAAAACACAATGTAGCAAAATGATATTTTACGAGTTTAAGAGGAGCCAATGTTTTCATCACCCCATTTAAAATCAGTTACATGCATTTTCTTTAATAAACAAATTCTGTTTGTCTTCCTAGTTCACTCTTCTTTAATGAGGTTTGTTTTATGAGAAAATCTAAAACGGAAGGAGAAGGGAGGGATGAGAAGGGAAACCCATACAGTGTTTGTTAAACCTGTGGTTAAGAGGCCACTCCTTATGAAGAACAATGCTTGTAGAGGACAGATACAGGTGAAGTGAAGTAAAATTTATTAACAGCCCATTATGTGCTGGGAATCTTTCTTGGCACTTAACATAGAGTATTTCATGTCATTTCTCATTCTCTCTCTCTCTCTCAAACACACACACACAGAAACAACCTTATATACTCAAAGTAGATAGGTAGATATACACGACAATAACACCCAGCCCTGCTAGTGTTACTATGTGCCACCAAGTATTGTACCATGTGATTTACATACAATTATCTCATTTGATCCTTATAACCACACTGCACAGCAGTTACTAGTATTCCATTGTAGAATAAGGTAAATGAAGCTCAGAACAGTTAAGCAGCTTTCTGAGTTCACAATGCTAGAAAGTGCAGTCCTTGAAATGTGAGCCCATGTCTTCCTGACCCTCAAACCTAAGTTCTTTTCTCTCTACCACACAGCCCATAAGGGGCCAGATGGTGGAGGCCAACTGAAGACCAAGCCAAGACCCCTTGATAGCAGCCATAATACATAGGTACTGAGTTCCTGCTCTGGGCCATATACTCATCTAAAGAGCTGGAAACCCAGCAGTGAACAAAACAGAGTCCTCTGGAGGTTTTTGAGACGAGTAAGATTATCAAAGTAGAAATTTGGGAGAATTAATCTAGTGCCTGATTGCACCTAGGGTTGGGAACTTTGAATCTCCATTTTATGTCCTCTCTAACACAAAATGCAGTGTCTAGATATAATATATACTCAAAAAATATTAAATGAGACATGAAGGGCATGCAGGAAGAGACTGGAGACAGGAGGAAGCTTTTAAAATAATCCTGGCAGAATGTGATGGAAGCCAAAACTAGCCACCTGAATGTTAATGGAAAGGAAGGAATGGAGGACAGGATGTTACAAAATGACTCTACAAGCCTGGTTGATTAACTGGATATGAGGGTCAAAGGAGGGAGAGAAGTCAAAAGTAGCCCTGAGGTCACTCCTGGGTTCCTGGGAGAAAACTGTGTTGTAAAGAGAAGTTGGGAGATGAAGAGAAATTGCTGGCTCGCAGAAGAGAAGCTGATTTCAAGTTTGGAGTAAGTGTGAAATGTAGCTAAGTAGGACTGTCCACTAGGACTCAGAGGAGAAGGACCAGAGCCACTAGAGAGCAGCCTGAATAGTTGGAACTCACTGAGAAACTCCCCTCAAATGCTGAGATTTATTACACCTGGCTGGCAGGTAAAGTGAGCTGGTTTAGCCCAGGGGCTCATACCTGAGTAGGAATAGTGATTCTCAGTGGTAAAGTCCTCTTCCCCTCTTAGAGGGGAGGTGATGTTTAAAATCTCCAAAACAGGTGGTAGGAATGATATTTTGATTACAGGGAGTATCATTTGAAAACAAGCATGTTCTGTATTACAAATGAGCTGTCCTTTTTAAGTCATGATATAGGTTTGGTATTTATATTTTTGAAAGTTAAGAAAATAACATTGAATGAAAAGGTGGGATATATTTATTAAAAGGGGGGGCTTGATTTTTAAAAAAAAAAGTTTGAGAAGCACTGAATCAGAAGAAAAAAGAAAAGCAAGAAATGATTCATTCAGGAAAAGCTGAGCTTGTGAAGATTCTTAGAAGTAGCCATCAGAGGGGAAAAATCTGATCTTGTTCTTGGTCAGGAAGATGCAGGGAGAAGGCTGAGGCAGGGCAAAGCAGAGCAGACTACACACACATATCATAGACCACAAAAAAAAAAAAAAAAAAGTAACTAAATAAAAAATGCTCCTGTTCTGCAAAGTCCAGAATTGTGCCTCAATTTTCTTGGCTCCCCGGTAGAGAGAGTGGTGGGAGCAGAAGTGTGTGTCGTTTCCCAGAGGTCTGTCAGTGACTGCTGACATTGCCTTCAGGGGTGGTAGGAGACCACCCTTACTGCTTCTGCTGTGCTAGGTTTAGTGGGAAATGGCATTTACTGTCAGAAACAGGCGATGAGTGGAGGGACCCCAAGAGGCCCTACTGATGTTATTATATGAAGCCTGGAAAGAAGAAATGTTACACATGAGCCCACTGGTCACATAGGGCTGGTAAACTGAAGATCAGTGGGCCTAGTACTAGGCTCAAGACTGTATCTGATCCTAAGTCAAGGGAGCAAAAGTTTCCAGAGGAAGGAAATGTTGTTGTTAGTTGCCATTGAATCAGCTCCGACTCATGGCAACCTCACTTGTAACAGAATGAAACGTTACCCGATCCTGTGCCATCTTCATGATGGTTGGTATGTTTGCGTCCATTGTTGTGGCTATTGTGTCACTCCATCTCATCGAGGGTTTCTCTCATTTTCCCTGATCCTCTACTTTACCAAACTTGATGTCCTTTCTTAGCAATTAATCTTTCCTGATGATGTGTCCAAAGTAAGGGGAGTGAAAGTCTCACCATCCTGGCTTCTAAGGAGCATTCTAGTTGTATTTTTTCTGAGACTGATTTATTTGTTCTTCCAATAGTCTATGGTATATTCAGTATTCTTCTCCAATACCAAAACCAAACCTGGTGCCGTTGAGTCGATTCCGACTCATAGTGACCCTATAGGACAGAGTAGAACTGCCCACAGGGTTTACAAGGAGCAGCTGGTGAGTTTGAACTGCTAACCTTTTGGTTAGCAACCAAGCTCTTAACCACTGCGCCACCAGGGCTCCTGGTTGAAATTACTGTGGCCAAAGCAAAACTAGATAAAAATGAAAGACCACATCTAGGGTCCATATTGGTCCAATCTGTGCATGCAACACAATGCAGGGAGATCGGATAGAGGAATACATTGTGCAGGTAGAGCCTTTGGAGGGAAAAATCAGCCTGTAAAAAGAGCCTGCGTCGGATCTGGGACCAGAGGGAACCCTGAGCTTCAGGCTGCAATAACAGATATGAGTAAAACTGTAACATCCAAACTCCCTGAGCCAGGCTGGTTAGCCTCCGTCAGCCTCTCCAGCATGCAGTCCTCCCTGTGTCTCTGTGGCCTTTCCTGCCACCCCTAGTAGCCACAGAGTCCCACAGTTAGAGTTCAGTAAGGTGTAACCTTGCAGGCAAGGTGGAGACATGCCAGATCTCCATGACCTTGTCACATGAAGGGTTATGGCTACTCCTTAAAACATGTGATTCCTTTGGGTTACTTGTTAGAGGGCCACAAGAGGCCACTAGACATTCTTGTCCTCTGACAGCTCAAAGAGTTCTTTTTTGGTTTCAGTTAGGTCACTTGGAATGAGAAAACAGAGTGTCAATTATACCAGTAGGTGGTTTTCAGTACCATTTCTAAATGGACAGGCTACCAGCATGGGGATCTATGGCCCCTGATGCTGCTCACGGGTTCTGCTACCACCTCTTTAGCTCTTCTTTCCCTCCAAGGAGGAAAGACTGTCCCTGCTGGCTCCTAGGGAGCCCAAATAAATCAACCTCTATTGAGCAGCTTCCTTATGCCAGAAACATATTGTGTGGCAGAGATGGGATTTGAACCCGGGTCTGCCTGACTCCAGAGCTCTTTCCATCCTAACATGCGGCTACAAGGAGCCTGGTGGCATAGTGGTTAAGAGCTCACACGCTAACCAAAAGGTCAGCAGTTCAAATCCACAAGCCGCTCCTTGGAAACCTGTGTGGGAGTTCTACTCTGTCCTACAGGGTCTCTATGAGTCAGAACCGACTCAACAGCACCTAACAATGACAGCATGCTGCTACAAGGAAGGACCAATTCTGCACTGGTCTTCGTGAACCAGTGTTCATGGGCAAGCTGAGATCTGAGCGCTTCATTCTCCTGTACACACTCAGCACTTGCTAAAAGCTACATTGGCTAGAATGGGATGAAAAGCAGCCCAACCTTTCTGGTGCTGGTCCCCATCTGCTGTTCCACCATGTCTGTGTGTCAGGGCCATGTCCGAGAAGCAGTCAGGGATTTGGAGTCCTCTGATGGCAACTGCAGTCTTCTCCACGAGCACTTCACAGACAGCAGCAGAGTAGACAAGCACACGCATCAGAGGACATGTCTCTCTGGAGCAACAATACTCAGGAAATGGGCCAAGACCAAGACAACTGTCCCCCGTGCCCAATCTGGGCCGGCATGTCTAAGGGCAGATGGGAAATCCATGCTTCTGCAAAGGGAGCTGTGATAGTTAATATAATGTATCAACTTGGCTAGGCCATGTTTCTGAGTATTATGTAATTATCTTCCATTTTGTGATATAATGTAATTGCCTCCATGATGTGATCTGATGTGATCAGCCAATCAGTTGTTAGAGTAGTTTCCTCGGGGGTGTAGCCTGCACCCAATATGTATATGGACATTCTGGCAAAGCTCACTTGCTTGCTCTGGATTCTGTTTCTGGCTCATCATCATCTGACCTCCAGTTCTTGGAACTTGAGCCTGCAGCCTGATCTGCCGACTTTGGGATTTGCCAGCTCCGCAGCCCTGTGAGCCAGCAGCCTGTTGTCTGATCTGCTGATTCTGAGTCTGTAGCCATATGAGTTAGGAGAAGCCTCCAGCTGACACCTGACCCCACAGACTTTGGGACGTGCCAGCCTCCACAACAGCATGAGCCATTTCCTTGAGATATATATGTAGAGATATACACGCTTCACTGGTTTTGCTTCTCTAGGGAACCCAGCCTAAGACAGGGGCCAATTTGAATGAGAGAAAAAACTTGGCAAGCTGGCCAAGGCAGTTCTCAACACGACCTCCCTTTGATTGAATTGGAACTGTAAGTTGTATGATTTTACTCTTGGACAAAATATCAAGAGGTTGAAGATGCCAAAAGCACGGTAGGGACATGTTTGTTCTGAGCTCTTCCGAAGGAATGCAAACTTGGCAGTCAGCATTGCTACCTTTCACCAGGTCTATAGGGATAGGCAAGATAAGTACACATCCAAAGTTAGGAAAAGACCTGCATCCCGAGTCTAAGACTCCAGTGCCCAGAGAGTTCCTGACAGCAACATGACAGGGCCAATGACTTGACCCAAGGACATTAGGGCCAGGACTATTCATCCCACACACATATACCAAACACCAGAAGGGTATTCCTTGATTCAGAAAGAAGCTTTATTCAGTAATACAGGAGTTAAATTACATAGCAGGAGATTCTGAAGCACTGGAGGAGAAACAAAATCCCAGAAGAGACACTGCAAGAAACAACAGCTTAAGTGGAAGACAATTACAACACTTCAAGGAAATACAATTTAAGCCACAAACAGGAAGCCACTACTTAGAGATATCTGCTGCTCTTTGATTTAATGAGGATGCCTCCAAAGGCTTTGGTTTATCTGAAGGAAGACTAAGCAAGGTGAGGGCAATCCTGGCCCCAGTGCAACCAATCTTAACCTCCTGCATCAGGACTCAGACCTTCAGAACCAGCTTCTGGTGTTGCCTCCACAAGCTGAGGTGGGCCCACAGGCAGGGGGGACACAGCTTGGACAAAGGTTGCAGGAGGCAGGTGTGGAGCAGGGATTGTAGGGGAGTCTGCAGGGAGAGAGAAAAGACGGGAAGAGTTAGCCATGGGAAATAAAAAAGACGTCCCAGTGATGTACAGAAAAAGGGTAATACTGAAAGGCAAAGGATAAGTTTGCCACCAAGAAGTCACCAGCCCAACTGAATCCACGTGGACAGTCCCCCTTCTACTCTCATCTGTGTTTTTCTGTGTCCAGGAGTCCACATAAGGACCTGGCAATCAATTATGTAACATTCTATCAGCAATGCAATCTGCACAGACCAGGAATAGTTCATGAGTCACTAAGCAAGAGTGCACAGAGAGGCTTATTTTTTAGCGATGGGATCTCCTCCCACAGGTTCTTCAGTTATCTCTGAGTAATTGCCTAAAAATCAGGTATGTGGCTTGTCCAGGAATTGCCTAGATCGCACCTACTTGCAGTCCTCGTTCTCCAGAAGGTTCCAGTATGTGGCAATCTCACCCTCCAGCCGGGCCTTGACATCCAGCAGCACCTGGTACTCCTGGTTCTGATGCTCCAGGTCAGCCCGGATCTCAGACAGCTGCTCCTCCACATTGCTGATCAGGCTCTGCATCAGGGCCAGCTCAGTGCCATAGTAGTCCTCGGCTTCACACAGGGAATTCTGCAGACAGTCTTTCTACAATGGGAAGGAATGGGGTAAGAGGTCCATCCAGGTGCCTCAAAATTCAGCAGAGAAAATCATGGTCAAGCTTACCAGGCACGGGACAATTTCCAAGAAGTCATAGGACATTCCCAAAGCTTGGGAGAAATCACCCTCAATTATGGCCATGACTTTTCACAAGAAAATCTAATTGAGGAAATGTTATCATATTTATCCCTATATCCCCAGTACCTCACAAAAACTAGGCAGCCAGTAAAATCTTGTTGAATGAGTACCTGAGCTTCCACACTTCTTTAAAGAAAGTCAGGTTGACTTTTAGTAGGAACTGTTTCTCTAGGCTGAACTGACCTTGACAGCATGGCATCATCATCAAGGAGAGAAAGACCTAGATCCTGAGCCCTGAGTTACTGTTAAAGGGGGACTTCCAAGACATGCTACTACCCAGTAGATGGCATGTGGTGAGGGTGAAGGAGGACACATACCAGTGTGTGCTGGGCTTGGCGCTCAGCTTACAAGGTATTCACCGTGCATCTCAGCTGCAGGATCTCCGACTGGCAACACTGCAGCTCCTTTGAGCAAGACACGGCCTGCAGGCTGATGCCTTCAGACTAAAACACAGGGCATCTGACAACAGTGGCTTAGTCATTCACTGACCCAGAACAAAAGCTAGGCCCCTCCCTGCTCTGCAGCACCTCCTCACCTGAGTTTGGAACCACTGCTCCACATCCTGGCGGTTGGTCTCCACCATGGCCTCATACTGGCACCGCATCTCCCCCAGCACCCTACCCAGGTCCACGGTGGGCTCGGTGTCCAGCTCAATCCGGAGCTTGTCCCCCAGCTGACACTGGGACAGAGGGATCAAAACCCAAAGTGAGAAAAGTGACAAGGTGAGGGGAGACACACCCCCTACAACTAACATGAAGGACATTTCCCAGAGTCACTAACAGGAAGGGCCCATTTGAAGACTCTTCTAAATTCATGAGGCAAGTCTTTGGAGAGAAGAAGCTCCAGCTAGGCCACATTCCACAGACTCATTCTAGACTCTCAGACCCAGATCAGCCCTTTATCCTGATGACAACTGAGCCCAGTTCTAATCTAAGAGCCATGGGACAAGGGGTAGGGAGTGGTTCCTTTCTATGCCCAACACACTCCCCCATGAGTCTCTACCTGCTTGTGGTTACTCTTCAGGGAAAGCTGCTCCTCCTTCAGGGACACCTGCTGGGCCTCCAGGTCAGCCTTGGCCAGGCTTAGGTCGTCCAGGAGCTTGTGCATCCTGCACATGTCTGCCTCCACCAGCTGGCACAGGGAGAGCTCACTCTCATGCCTTCCATGACAAGAGATGCAGGGTCAACAAGAGTGCCACCAAGAGCACCCTCAGCTGTCCCTGGCTTCCATTTCCTTCACTGCCTTGGATCCTAATTTGTTCACTTGACCAACATTCACTATGCTACAGGACTCATGGACAGGATTATATGCTTGGTTAGTAGTAAGTGCATAGACTCGACTTTAGTGTTCTGACTTCAAATGCAGTATTTATTTTGCCATAATAGGAGTCTTTCATTCAGGAGAAAGAACGACTAAAACTAAGCCTTCTGGGCCTTCACTATGTTGCTTTACCCCTTGGGTTGATTATTTCACATTACTTATCTGCCTTTCTCATTCATTAAATTGTAACTCTGGATACCAGAGAGCTCCAGTAACAATTCTATTCACTAATGGTCTGACCAAGTGTCAGTGGGTCTTTCATGTCCTATGCACTGACAGTTTATTCTGCTTCCGGTTATGAAATTTAAAAAATTAAAATAATAAAAACCTATCCTAGATATGAGAAGAAAATGGTGTAGAACTTAACCAGTCTTTACTATTAAAAAAAAAAACAAACCCATTGCTGTCAAGTCAATTGACTCATAGCAACCCTATAGTCTTTACTATACCACCTCTTTTTATTTTAATGCTTTTCTTCTCTTCCAGTCTATAAAATGACCATTTGTAGTAATGAATTAAATTAAGGTTTGGAAGAAAGTAGACATTTACTCACTTATTCATTTATTCTAGTCAAAAACTATTTTGAACACCTACTATGTGTCAAGTACTGTACTGGGCACTTGGAAGTAGAACAGGAGAGAGAAGTCACTCTGGACCCTCTTCCAGCCTTACTTACTTGATTCTAAAGTCATTGGCAGCCAGCTTGGCATTGTCAACTTGTGTGATCAGCCTGGCATTCTCAGCCTTGCTGCACAGGATCTGAGGAAACCCAAGAAGAGAGTTCACATACCCATAAATCATACTCAAGGTTCCAACTGCACATATAGTGTCCCCATTCACGTCTCAAAAGAATCCAAGAACCCAAACCTCTTTGAGCCCTAAGTTCCTGCCATGCCCTCTGCCCTCCTCAGAACCAGCATACTCCAGGTTTCTTCAAACCTCACCTTCTGCTGTAGCTCCTCGATGGTCCAAAAGTAAGACTGGTAGTTCAGACACACTTCAGTCTCTTGGCATTTGCTCGACTCTCGGATCCTGGTCTCCAGCTCCGCATTGTCCTGTTCCAGCTGCCGCACGTTCTGCAGGTAGTTGGCCAGGCGGTCATTCAGGAACTGCATGGTCTCCTTCTCGTGGCCATTCAGAGTGCCTTCACCATAGGTCCCACAGCTTCCAATGTTGCCTGGAATGTGGCAAGTCCCTGGCAAGGAGCAAGCAGTGTAGCAGCTGTGCAGAAGGCATAGGCTGGGTCGGCCCAGAGGGGTTGACCCCACACGGACTCGGTTGGCATGAGCCAGGGTGGCCAAGAGACCCTGGGAGGCATCCTTGACCTCTGCCCCAGGCTGACCCCCAATATCAATGGAGGTGATGGAGACACTGGTTGCTTTAGGAGCCAGGAGAGGGTAGGAAGAGCTGATGAAGGTGGAAGTCATGGTGTTGGCATGGGGCTGCACAGGAACTTCAGATCAGCTAGGAAGGCAAAGCCACTGAGTCTGGACACCTGCTTCCCTCCTATCCCTTTGTATCCCATCCCAAGTGGGTGTTGGCTTAATGCTTTGACCTTACACCTTGATTATCTACCTATTATTGTACCATCATCCTGTTACTCAGTTATTGAGTTTACCATTAAGGGTTCCTAATCTCATTAAAGGAATTTTGATGAAACTGAGGTGCCTCTTGACTCTTTGATATCAGAGCTATTGTTGAGAGGTCAGAAGTTTATATTACTTTTCGAAGATCAAAAGTTTTTTTTAACCATCAGATGTTTGGACCTTGACTAGCTGGTCACCTTGATGTGCCCACACTGAAGACATGAGTATTCCTGCTGGCCATTTGTGTAGTAGGAGAGCTAAACCCTTATGACTACAGTGATGCTTACCAGGGTTAAGACTCAGTTACCTTCCCTATAAAGGGAAGAAACTGATTCTCGGTATTGCTGAATATTATGGTATTTCGTTATCAAGAAGTTCTACATTTCTTCTTTCTTTAGTTGTTTGCATTTCAGACTTACTTTGAGGGGCAATAAAATTCGGACTATTTCATTCATTTAACACACATCTCTTGGGCATGTCCTATATGCCAGGCACTGTGCCACATGGTTTACATACAATTGGTTAAGCATGATACGGTTCCTGTTCCCAGGAAACAACCATACTTAGGTAGCCATAGATGTTTTAAATAGGGTGTTCACCACAAGGGTAACGCTGAAGATTATGGTTGATCTGGATGAGGAAGGGTGAACTCAAGATGCCAGAAAAAAACAAATCAACAATTTTTTTTTTTAAATCTCAAACAAGAACTTGACCGTAAAACGCAAAGCACATTTGGCTGTTGGAAACACTGTGGGCCCTCTTCCTGCCTTACTTCCTAAAATAAGTAAACTGATACTAAAGTCTGTTATAGAGCACCTACCATACTGTTATAGTCCCTGGGTGGTGCAAACAGTTAACGTTCTTGGCTGCTAACCAAAAGGTTGGAGGTTCAAGTCCATCCAGAGGGGCCTTGGAAGAAAGGCCTGACAATCTACTTGCAAGAAATCAGCCATTGAAAACCTTATGGGGCACAGTTCAACTCTGACACACTTGGGATCACCTTGATTCAGAACTGACTCAATGTAACTGTAATGGTACCATACGCGTTAAGGGATTAATTGGTGATAGCATTTATTCCTTATCATTATGTAAGGTGGTATTCTTATTTTCATTTTATAAAAAATTTCAGTAATGACAGTAATAATAAAACATTGAGAACCAAAAATGTGAAGTCATTTTTCTAAGATCAAACTCGTAATAAAGTGGCAAAGCTTGTTCTCAAAATAAGTTTCGTTCCGACTGTAGAGCCTATTCTCATTCCTCTTCACCATGACCATGCCACATCCCCCACTCCTACTCTTTAACCCCAAGGAGAATAATCTGTGTCATTGCTAGAACTAAGAAGAATTAAAAGACCTAGAAACTGGGCAAGAAGTTGGAATTAAGAGATTTTTTTTTTAAGTCTGACATCCTATACTCTCTTTGTGTCTCCAAAAATATAGATATTGGGATATCAAGACAATAGGGCAGTATTTCTCCAAGGGCTATGTAGGAAGATACCCAGAGGAAAGCTCTGTCTCTAAAATGGCTTTGCTACATCCCATACCTCAGTAGCTCTTGGTACCAGGGAACCAAGACAGCTGAGTGCTGAGGTTCAAAAAAGTTTTCTCTCAAAATTTGTGTCAGGAGATAGATAAACTACTAGGACTAAGAAAAACCCAATGTGAGTAAGACTCCCAAAGTGCTTATAACCATACCTTCGAGAAAATATTTTCCAGTGCTCTGAGCATTGAACAAAATGTGAACAGGCTTGTCTATAGGGACCAGGTGTGTATATGTGAAACACAGGCTGTGGGAACTCTATCAAGAAAAAAATATAAAACTTGAAATTCTGTTCAGATTGAGTTTCCCAGGAAAGCTAAGGAATGGTCAGCTCTGGCCTAAGGGTGTCCCAGAGCTCACTAATGAATAACCCTTTACCGGCGCCATCTTTAGGTGACATCATCCCACCAAGCCATCCCATCCTTCAGAGGTCTCTGGGTAAAATCTGCACGTTACATCTTCAAACACCCCTTTGTTACTCTCCTCTGCCTCACCACATAGCAATCAGATTCTATATAAACCAGAGACCCAGCCTTTTTAAGTCGTTTTCTTTGATTTGCTAAATAGGATCTATCTTTTGACCTTATTCTCTGGCAGAATTCACTCCATTGGCTAAAAACCATGATTCCTTCCGTCTCACAATATGCAATACTTGTCACTTGATAACATCACTGCTGAAGTTTGGCATGTCCAGTGCTGCTCCTCTCTGCTAAAGCTTGATCTGTGGTCCTGGCTTGTGCTACTACTGTGTGTGCTGTTTTGAATAATGACACTGATGCTGCATGTCCCTTTGTAAGGTCGCTTGGTTCTCTGATTTGCATTTTTTTCAAAGGAACTGGCAGTGAATGAGGAGGTTAATATGGGAGAAGGATCCTCACCCTCATACCTAAGACTCCCTTCCTTCCCAGCCCTTTAAAAAGAGTCCCTGTGGCCCCCGGTGATGAGGTATGAGCCAGGCTCAGTGACAAGAAGTGGTGGAGCCAGAGCTGTGGGAAACAGGTCCCTGCAGCCCTCCTTCACTCACCTGTGAGCATAGAGTTCTCCAATGATTCCAACTTAAGAAATACCAATGTCTAGAGGCAAAGAGCCTACTACAGGAGAGAGGTGGGGGGCTGTGGTCTTGGGATTCTATTTTCAAACATAGTGTCAGAACATATGGGTGCAACTCAACCAGTGAGAGAGAAAGGTGTGGAGTTGCAGGCTTGCACAATGGAAATCATGCCTAACCCACAGCCTACATTTCTACGCAGGCTCCTACTGTAGGAAGAGGAGGGAGATGCAGGGGAGCCCTGATTTGTAGCATGTGCCAATTTCTGTGGTGTAAATACACCCACAGTGGCCGTTTTCAAGCTACCAATATGACATCACTGAATGTGGAATTGGGAAGAGAGGTACAAAATCAGCTCCTGCAAGCCAGTAAGAGCTCCAGCACACCACTCGATCCTACTTTCCAAATCTAAGTTCTTGATAATATTTCTTACGTATTAATTTATTTTATAAATCCTACACAGAAACCAAAGATAGATCACATTAAATTACATGTTCAACAGATCTACTCTTAGAAGGAATCACTTCGTCATCCCCCGCTCACTAAGACGCTCTGCTTCCCCTCGGAGCTCCAAGGTCCCAGCTGGGCTCAGATCTAAGGAAACTCAGGCAACCTCTGGAAAGGTAGAGCCAGTTTCTTTGATAATGATGTATCCCTTCAAGAGTCACTCTCTACCCCTTCTCAGATACTGACACTGATCCAGGAAACGTTCAACCCAAGCAAGGAATTTAGCAAAGGTTAGGCAGGGATGATCCAGCATAGAGGAGCTGCCTTTGGATAAGGAAAACTGTATAGGTTTATGTTTGGTTTTCTACTGTGCTGAAGAAATCAGTGTCTGCACCCTTTCCTAAGCCAACTTTGTCAGCCTCTAGGGCTGTGGTTCTCAAAGTTTGATTCTCTGACCAGCAGCATCAACATCACCTGGAAACCATTAGCAATACACATTCTCAGATCCCACTCCAGACCTGAATAAGAGGCTCTGGATGTGGGACCCAGAAGTCTGTAGTTTAACAAGCTCTCCAGATGATTCTGATGAACGCTCAAGTTTGAGAACCACAGCTTCAAGGAAAGGGAGCAGCCCTGAGTGTGGTAATTAAAAACATCAGGAGCAAGAATGTTTCCCCTTGAAAGCCCAGTGAGAATGGATTCTAACCTTGGCTGCACCTTAGAATTCTCTGGGGAGCTTTTAAAAAAGTCTGGTGCCCAAGCCACACCCAGACCAATGACACCAGAATCCCCAGAGGTGGGACCCAGACTTCAGTATTTTTAAAAACTACACAGGTAATTCCAATGTACAGCTAAGGCTGAGAAGCAGTGACTTAGAAGAAGGGAGAAGAGGAGAGGTGGCAGAGTGAAAAGCACCACTTTGGAGTCAGACAGAGGTGCAGATTCTGGCTTTCCTAAGCTTTTTAAGTCACAGAGCTCTCATTTTCTCTTGTGTGAAATGATGATTATAGAACCTGCACTGGGAGCTACTTGGGAGGATTCACGTCCTAGAAGGCAGAGTCAACAGCTGCTAATGAGATAATAATTATAAAGCAGTACAGGGCCACAAGACCTTATCTGCAATTCTGAAATCCAAAATAAAATTCTGAAAACCAAAAATTTTCTCGTAACTCATTTGTCTTTGTATAGTGTCTACTTATCCATACAATGGACTGCAAAACTAATCATGCATTTGCTTACAAGGTCTTCCCAGACCTTGCCTTCCCCAGAGGTATGGAAGAAAAAGCACTGGATGGGAGCTCAGATATTTGGGCTCTGCTAGGACTCGGCCTCTCTCAGTGCTGCTCGTGTATCTTTCATACGAATGCCGGGATTGGAGTGTTGAGTCTTGATGTGTGAGATCGTGAGGGTATAGCCACAGCCCTGTGGTGTGTGGGGATCCATCTAACATGTCAGTCACTTGGAGAAGAGGGGTGTTCACAAAAAGGAAAGAAGCACTTTGAGGTCTCAACTCCTTCTGGGTCCAGATGCCCAGGAGTCTAGGGGGCCCCTGGGAGCACAGGGGCTGGGTATAGTGTCAGTGTATAGAGGAAATGGAAGCTAGAAGGAGAGGTTCTCGTGTAAGATTGTTTTCTTGGTAGAACCATGAGATCAGGACAGGTCTGTGTGTGTCCAATGAGCAGGCTGTGAGCCAGAACTTCTAAACTCATGGTCCATAGACCCCCTTGTTAGTCCTCAATCATGAGCTGAGTCTTCTCTGAACCACCCACCCTCCACCCAGCGACAGGGAATCTGGGGTCATTTG